CAGTCCGCGTTGTGGACTTTGATGCCCTGACCTGAGAGCAGAGAAAATGCCTTTTAAGCAGGAACAATTTTTTTTTTAATTGATGTTTTAATAGTTTTTAACATTGTGAAATTTTGGGTTGTACATTTTTGTTGTCCATCACCATATATATGACTCCCTTCACCCCTTGTGCCCACCCCCCACCCCCATAGCCCCTGGTAACCACAATACAGTTTTCTCTGTTCATGTGTTGGTTTATATTCCACATATGAGTGAGATCATACAGTGTTTGTCTTTCTCCTTCTGGCTTATTTCACTTAACATAATACCCTCCAGGCCCATCCATGTTGTTGCAAATGGGACGATTTTGTCTTTTTTTATGGCTGAGTAGTATTCCATTGTATATACATATATATACCACATTTTCTTAATCCAATCGTCAGCTGAGGGACACTTAGGTTGCTTCCACTTCTTGGCTATGGTGAATAATGCTGCAGTAAACATAGGGGTGCATAAGCCTCTTTGGATTGTTGATTTCAGGTTCGTTGGATAGATTCCCAGTAGTGGGATAGCTGGGTCATAGGGCATCTCTGTTTTTAATTCTTTGAGGACTCTCCATACCGTTTTCCATAAAGGCTGCACCAGTTTGCATTCCCACCAGCTGTGTGTGAGGGTTCCTGTTTCTCCACATCCTCTCCAACATTTATTGTTTTTTGTCTCAGTGATTATAGCCCTTCTAATCCGTGTAAGGTGGTATCTTAGTGTAGTTTTGATTTGCATTTCCGTGATGATTAGTGATGTTGAGCATCTTTTCATGTGCCTGTTGGCCATCTGTATATCTTCTTTGGAGGAGTGTCTGTTCATTTCCTCTGCCCATTTTTTGATCGGGTTGTTTGTTTTTTTGTTGTTCAGTTGTGTGAGTTCTTTATATATTATGGAGATCAACCCCTTGTCAGATGTATGTTTTGCAAATATTCTCTCCCAGCTGGTGGGTTGTCTGTTCATCTTGATTCTGGTTTCGTTTGTCTTATAGAAGCTCTTTAATCTGATAAAGTCCCACTTGTTTATTTTTTCTTTAGTTTCCCTAGTCTGGGTAGGCATGTCATCCGAAAAGATTCATTTATGACCAATGTCAAATAGTGTGTTGCCTATATTTTCTTCTATGACTTTTATGATTTCAGGTCTCACCCTCAGGTCTTTGATCCATTTTGAGTTAATTTTTGTGAATGGCGATAGCAGATGGTCCACTTTCATTCTTTTGCATGTGGCTGTCCAGTTTTCCCAGCACCAGTTATGGAAGAGACTTTCCTTTCTCCATTGTATGTTCTTAGCACCTTTGTCGAAAATTAGCTGTCCGTATATGTGAGGTTTTATTTCTGGGCTTTCAGTTCTGTTCCATTGATCTGTGTGTCTGTTTTTGTACCAGTACCATGCTGTTTTGATTACTATTGCTTTGTAGTATGTTTTGAAGTCAGGGATTGTGATGCCTCCTGCTCTGTTCTTTTTTCTTGGGATAAGCAGGAACATTTTTAAAGCCTTCCTCTCTCCCTTACGTCTCCCTGTCATCCTCCTCCCACTGCCCCATCATCTCTAATCCCCAAATAATTGAGATGCAGCCTCACGGTGGTAAACTCTGCGGCAGGGGCATCTCATTTCCGTGGCTGGCATCCCAGCTGAGGAATACTGTGGTTATTAACAGGTGAGCAGCCTTGGCAGATTTGAAAAGACAACGAAAGTCCTTTTCCAGGGAGACTTCACATACTTACTTTCCTCAAAATTACTCCGGCTTTTTAGGAGACATAGAAATAGTAGCCTTATTGCAAAATGAGGCCTCATGTTGGGGGAGATTTGTCTTTGATGAATTGGATTGAACAAACATCTATTGAGAGCCTGCCATGGAAGGGCATGCGTTATGCTAGGCACTGAAGTTTATGCGATGAACTGGCCTGGAAAATGGGTGAGAGACATTTGTTTAGAGTTTTATGAGTGTCCGTTACTGTACCGGGCCCTACACATGCATTCATACATTGAACCCCCAAAATATAGTTGTGGAGGAGGTAGTGCCAGCTTTACGGTTGAGGACACTGAAGCCTAGAAAGGTGACATAACTTGCCCAGGGTCACAAAGTTACTATAAATCCATTTATTTGTGCATTCATCCATCCGTGACATAACAAATATGTGGAGCTTCTGTGGTGTGTCAGGCACGCAGCAGGAAGACAGAGAAGAATTAGCTGTGGCCCTGCCCTCACGGAGCTTATCATCTAGTTGAAGAGACAAATACGTAGACAATTAGAAGAGAGTTTTATAAGTGTCATGACGGGCAGGTGTACGCACGGGGGAGGGGGGACATCGGGTATATAGGAGAGGCCAGCCCTGTGATCAAATCAGGTTGGCCTGACTCGGAATCCTGTACAACAGAGACAGGGACAGAGACAGAGACAGAGACAGGGACAGGGCAGTCTGCTTTCCGGTCTTGTTCCGTGCCCTGCTCGTAAGCCTCTGGTGTTTGCACCCTTTCCTCTCTTCTGTCTGTAGGGGGCCGAATGGAGAGTGTCAGTGCTGGAAGCCATGGCGGTTCATCTTCTATCTTGACATTAGATGTCCAGCAAAGCCCTGAGGATCTGGACAGCTTTTCTCATGGCCAGCTCTCCTCCTGCCTCCCCTCACCTGCTTTCCATCCTGAATCCTCTGTGTTCAGTGCCATCACCATCCACCCAGTGTGCGAAACTAGACATGTCCGAGTTATCTCAGCTCCTCCCTCTCACTCACTCCCCACCCCCACATCAAATAATAGAATCAGAATCCCATTCTTTGCTTGGTTCTCGTTGTCACTGTGTCACTGCCTTACACCAGCCTCTTCCTCATAATGGGGGCAATTGCAGCTGCGACCTAAGTGATGGTGCAACATCGCGTTCACCCGCCACAACCCTGGCTCTGTAATGCCACAAGCACCACTGTCCCAAAAAGCAAATGAGATCGTGCTACTTTCTAGCTCAAATATCTCTGCACATAAGTCAGATCTCAAATTTCCACTGCATCTAAAGTAAAATCCACTTTTCTTTGTTTGGTATATCAGGTTGTTCACAGTCTAGCCTCATCTCATCTCTCCACCATCTGCCCCAGCCACACAGAATCTCCCCTTAGAAGCAAAATGCACCTCCCTGCCCCTGCACAGGCTTCACCCTCTGAGCTTGGGGTAAGACCATCCTCTGCTTCTCAACCTAGGAAACTCCTACTCATCCCACAAAACCCAGCTCAAATATTACCTCCTCTGTAGATGCATTCCTTTATTTCTCCAGAAAGTCTAATCATGCCCTCCTCTGCGATCCTTCAGCCCTGAATTTATACCTTTATCTTAGTGCTTGTCATAAGATATCAAAATCATCTCTTTCTCTATATATCTTCTGACTGGACATTAGCTCCTCAGGGGCAAGGTTTCCTGTGCTTTATCTTTTATTCCCAACATCTAAGCACAGGGCCTGCGACATACGAAGTACTCAGTGCATGTTTGTGCTGTGTGACAGGATTTCCCATCAGTCCTTTTGTCTGTGTAGCTTGCCACAGGCCTTTGGTGCCCTGCTATTCTCTCTCCAGTTAGGTAACAGGGAGCAGAGAACCCCAGCAGAGGAGGAATCCTGGGGCTCTCTCCTTTGTCCTTGGTCATAACTGTCCAACTTGAAATAAATTCTGTAACACACCAGTCACCAGGCGTGTCATACTATCATAGGGTGTTTGCTGTTGTCGGTTTAAGTGAAAAAAAGTAGTACTTGCAGGAGGAGCAGCTCCCAGTCCATCATTAGTGGCAGACAAGCAGCACAAAGCAAGGAAGAGAGTCGAGGAAGGGAAGCCTCAGAGCAGCTGCATCGGCTGCTGAATGGCCCCGGGCGCTCCTCAAGATCGAGAACGTTCCCATTTACAGAATGTCAATGGACTGACGTGAGGCTGTTCTGGAGGAAGACCCAGTAATACTAAGATTGCCATTGATGGCATAGAAAAGACACATTTTTAGATTTTAACCAGCACCTCATACCTGAGGTACTAGGAGGAGTCTGCACTAAGAACAATGAAAACAGTGAAGGGAGAAAAAAAGGAACTTTTTGACCCAGATCTAGATTGGTCTACCCTAAAGTACTTAGGCATGGTAAGCACATATCTAAATTACTTGACTTCTCTAACAGTCTGGCTGAAAAAAAAATCAGACAAAAAAGGAGGAAGCAGAAGTTTTTAAAAGTTCAAATTAGGGAAATTGAAAATGCGCGAAATTCCGTCTGAAATCAGCTAGAGACTTGGAGACCTGTTCTGCTTAAGTCAATTTAACATAATGCAATACAAATGAAATACGTTGCTCATAAAATGGATCCAAAGCTTCCTATTGAATTGTATAAATCTGAATAAAATGGGCTTTCTGTAATTGTCCCCATCATCAAAAAAAGAGATTTTTATACTTCTCATTATTTTCCTGATTAAATAACTCTAACTTCAAACAGTTCAATTTTCATTTTAAGGAGAATCATTTTCCAATTGATATTTAGTTGGAACAGGTGCTATTATGTTCATGGCTGTTAAGCTCTTGGGACTTTTACATCTGGATGCCAGAGCTGTCAGAAGGCATCTTCTTTCTTCTCTACCTGTCTTCACGGCCTGAAGCACAGTTTAAAGCTCCTCAGCGTATCTTGTAACTGGTTAGTTTTTGGCATCCTGTGAGGCATATTGGCCAATATGATTCATTCTTTCTTTGAGCACAATTAGCTATGAAAACAGATCTTAGAACAGACTCCCTCCACCCCCAAAGCATTATTGAAGGTAGGAAATGCCGGTGATTATCAGAGTTTGCCTTTGATACAGACATCCTGCTCTTCTGCTAGCCCTTTGAACTGACTTTGATATGCAGTAATTAAGAGGGGTTCAACCCCTGGAGGAGACGCCGATGTGGCCCTGCCTCTTCTCTCCCTCTGTTGAGCCCTTGTTTTGAACTATTGATCAAACAGATTTGAAGGGATTTGTTGAAGCCTGTGTGGGGTAAGAAGGAAGGAAACGGAGGAGGAGGGGGGAAGAGAGAAATGAGGGGCACATCTGGCTATAAATAGTTTCAGAAGTCACCTACTGGTCACACCTCCCTTATCCTATTTCACACACCTTACTTAGACAAAGATTTGCTTCTCTTTCAGAAAAAGCAGCTACAGACGACTTGCGAAGTTTCCATTTTGGCCAAAGCTCTACTGAGGTTTAGAGCAGCCTGGCTTCGGAGGACGTGGAGTGCTGGGAGGGTCGAGGAGACCTGGGACTGAGGATGGTGGTGGTGTTCTTGCTGGGGCTCAGCTGGTTCTGCGCTCCCCTGGGGGCTCTGGTTCTGGACTTCAACGACATCAAGAGCCCTGCCAACGTACCAGGGGCTCAGAAGGTAAAGTGCAGCTAGAGAGGAGGGGACGCTGTGTGCTCGTGGGTCGGGGGTGCTGGGTTGGGGTTTAAGGGAGTCACTCAGATTAATGTCTGAAATATCTTAACTAGAAGGCAACTTGGATTGGTTTAGGAATTGGGAAGGCACCCTGGTAGAATCGAATGGCCATAGCATTAACATTTTAAGTAAGCAAATTGGCTTTTCAAAGCATTCAGCTACACATTTGCCTGTAAATCAGGGAGTAAACTAACATTTAGAAAGCTCTACCATGTGCCAGGCTTTTTATACATAATAGCTCATTTAATCTTCCTCACAACCTCCTTGTTATAGATGATGAAAATGAGACTCGAGACATTGAGGAATTTAACCAAGGCCACACTGCCAGGAAATATGGGAGTTAGATTTTAAACACTCAGGGCCAAGGTGCATTGCCTTGTCACCGGCTCACTTCACAGAACCGTTTTAGGGATCCTTTTCATATATATATACGCAAAAGCGTCAACTATAGATGAGAAAAATTGGTCTTTGGTATCTATTTCTCTGCAAACAAGGCATCGCCCAAAATCAAAGTACAGCTCACCCAGAGAGGCTTGCCGGGGTGCTGCTGGGCAAATGGGTGCAGTGATGAATGGGATTCACCGGAGTGAAAAACCAAATAGGAATGCCACACACACCAGCAGTAGTGTATCGAATGAAACTGTAGCACAGCTTCTAGAGTTGATAGATACATATCAAAAATCTCATAATCACCTGTAAGACACACATGGGAAAACTTTTTCTTCCATTTTCACAAAGAGCAGAAGAATATCAAATTCTGAGTTTTAAAAGTGGGACAATTTTTCAAACATGAGCAACCTTTGCAGCACATAGGTGTCTTCGTGGGTGATTTGATCTCCCCTTTGTGAGAGAAAACCAATTATACTGAAAAATTAAGATGCCACTTAAGGTTTGTCACAGCAAAGTGCCACTGTGATTTGGCCTCCTCCACCTCCCATCTTGAGTTAGAGTCATCTCACGTCTTGCTGGGCTCCCTCGCCCTGTAACAACGGATTCTCTTCCCAGGGTTCACAGTGCTTGTCTGACAAGGACTGCAGCACCAGAAGATTCTGCCTCAAGCCCCAAGAGGAGCCGTCATTCTGCACGGCGTGTCGTGGGTTACGGAAGAGGTGCCAGCGCGATGCCATGTGCTGCCCAGGAGCGCTCTGCATGAACGGTGAGCTCTCAGAATCCCTCGAAGGACTGCTTTACTGCAATCAACAGTGGCTTTTAAATAGTGAAGAAAGCGTCTGAATCTCATAGACTAGAATACTGCAAGACAGGCACTCTCTAAGGTTTCCTGGATTGGTTCTTGAAGTAAATTTATGCAGCTCCCTTTTCTTGATGCAACAAGATAGTTTATTTCCCAGCAACAACTCTTGCCAGCAATTTGGAGATAATAATTTTAAAGGAAGGGTTCAAGTTGGAATCTTTCAAAGTCTCCCGTTCTCATTGGATTCTATTAATTACTTAACTGCCTTCTTTGCCATATGTGAGCATGTAAATATTTAGTGCATATGTCCCAGAAATGTAGAAATTTACATATAAATTGAAGGCAGAGGTACTGCCAAACTATATAACAGTATGATAATTAGCATGTCTGTGGTTCTAATCCCTGAACTTGGTAACTATACACCCGCTTGTCTCTCAGGTATTTGTACTGCAATGGAAGATGCAACCCCGGTATTGGAAAGGCAGATGGCTGACCAAGATGACATAGATACAAAAGGACCAACTGAGCATCCAATTCAGGAAAACAAACCCAAAAGGAAGCCAAATTTTAAGAAATCACAAGGTACTAAAGGAAAGAGCAGCATTCTGAGTACATTTTTTTTTAAGAAAAACATTTTCTCCCTTAGGCTAAGGATAGGCTGAAACTGACTTGATTCCTCTCCACCCCAGGAACACACAGGGGGCACGTTCTGTTTCTAATCTCTCTCTGTAAGCAGCTGTGGAGATCATGCAGGGAGGAGGGTAAGGTAGTCATCAGGCCAAGAGCACAGGGGAATAGCCATAACAATAGACTGGTTAGCAAGAAAACCTCTAATTGTTTAAGTGAATTTTTACACACACACACATCTTTTTACAGTCTGTAATTCAGCAAATGGCAGTTTCTCTTTCTAGATCCTCAGGATACAAAATAAAAGAGAGATGAATGTAGATGTATTAACTTTTCATTCTAAGACAAACTACAAACTTCACTAAGATGCTTTTTACAAAATTGTAGTCTCAAATTCCGATCTTTGACATAAAATAGCTAGAATGTTTGAAGGTGGTGAGGCGGCCATTCTTGTTTGTGTCTTCAGGTTAACTGGCCACTTTGTAAGTAATGATCTTTGTGTCAGTATAAATCCCATTTAATAAAACATTGATGAGTGATACTTATTTCATTTCTTAAGACTGGAAATCCCATCTTTCTTTAATAAATGCTTTAACTCTATAAAACAATAAATTCTATTAGGTAGGGCTGAAATTTCCATTTCATTATTGCTTTTAGCATAAGATCTAGCGCTAGGAGACCTGCATGCTCTATTTTTCCTTTGTGGTCTTCAGTCCTATATCCCACGCCTTTATCCCAATAGCAATCCCCGACGTGCCACTTTCCCCATTTCTTGCTAAAGCCCATATTAATGTTGTTACAGGACAAGAGGGAGAAAGCTGTCTTAGAACTTTTGACTGCGGACCTGGGCTTTGCTGTGCTCGTCATTTTTGGACTAAAATTTGTAAACCAGTCCTATTGGAGGGACAGGTCTGCTCTAGGAGAGGGGATAAAGACACTGCTCAAGCTCCAGAAATCTTCCAGCGCTGTGACTGTGGTCCTGGACTATTATGTCGAAATCAAGTGACCGGCAGTCAACAACACGCACGGTTAAGAGTATGCCAAAAAATCTAAAAAGCTGCAAGTATTTCAAAATAAAGATGACTCTTTATTATATTCAAGCAGAAATATCAGGCATTAATTTTAAGATTTTATTTATTTTATTTTTTTCCCCCCAAAGCCCCAGTGGATAGTTGTATGTCGTAGCTGCACATCCTTCTAGTTGCTGCATGCGGGACTCGGCCTCAGGATGAACGGAGAAGTGGTGCCTCGATGCGCACCCGGGATCCGAACCCGGGCCGCCAGCATCGCAGCGCACGCACTTAACCACCAAGCCACAGGGCCGGCCCAAATTTTAAAATCTTTCCATATAAATATCTCTTCAAATCTTGTGGCAACTGAAATAGACTGAGCTAGAGAACTGTAAGATGCTGCCTTGTGATGAACAGAAACCATCTTTAGCTTTTTGTTTATTTCTGCAGAAAAGTGATGTGATTCTATAACAAAAAAAAATTTAATTTTGATCTAGTGATTCGATTAGTTAAAATAAATCTTTAAGTAATTTCTGGTGAAGTTCTGGTAGCTGACAGTAGCTTGGGGGTGGGGGGAAGTGATAGTATCTGTAGTTAAATTAATTCTTGTATCTTACCAGTGAAAATTATCATAGTAAATACTATATTTTTCCTTAAAAATGCCATTGTTTATTTCCCTTCATCTTTTGAAAGGGAAATGCCATTTCAGTACAAAATAATTTGGTTAATAAAGAAATAAGATTCAAAAGGTAATAATATCTTACATTTGTATAGACCTTTGCAAGTTACAAAGCATTTTTTAATATTTTGTTAATAGCTTTACTTACTTTGGTAACTTTTTACATTTTGTATTTACATAATTTTTATATTTCAAAGGTAGGGCTTTCAAGGAGTGTTGTTACTTATATATTTTGACTTTTGAACTTAGACGTTATGTTGGAGGAAAACTAGGGTAAAAAGATGAAATTTTTGTTTAAGTTTAGCAGGCCATATTTTGTATATATGGGTGCTTATTAGAAGTGGTTTTGCTTAGGGAAGCTCTTTCTGATGGATTAAAACCAATTGCTACAGATTTCATTTAAGAGATAAACCACACACCTGCTCTTCTATTTAAGTTATAAGTATATATTACAAAATTGAATATGGGCAACCAAAGAAAAGAATTAAATTTATGAAGGTCCCTAGTTTCTAAAAAAATATTGAACCATCTTCCAGAGGCTAGCTCCTGGGTGCACCTTAACTGACTAATTTGTAATCAGTAAATAGGAGGAAAGGTAGTGGGTAATGTGGTTGACAGCATAAGGGCAGAAAACAAGAAAATAAAAATTCCCATTAAAGATTTGCTATCATCTCATCTCTTAATTCTATCTACTAAACCCTTAGTAAAGTGTGATCATGACCATAATATGTAAATTTAAACATATTTGCTGGGGCCGGCCCCGTGGCTTAGCGGTTAAGTGCGCATGCTCCGCTGCTGGCGGCCCAGGGTTCGGATCCCGGGCGCGCACCAACGCATTGCTTCTCTGGCCATGCTGAGGCCACGTCCCACATACAGCAACTAGAAGGATGTGCAGCTATGACATACAACTATCTACTGGGGCTTTGGGGGAAAAAATAAATAAATAAAATTAAAAAAATAAAAAATAAAAATAAACATATTTGCTAATAAAATAAGAACAAGATCATCTGATAACAGTGTAAGAGGCTTTATTGACTATAGTGCAAGCTAAGCACGAAGAAAAAACAATCACTTAAAAACACCAAAGACCCTTACATAGCAAAGGTTAAGAAATAAATTAAGACTCCTGTGGGGCTGGGCCTGGGAGGAAGGAGAGGCCTTATTCACTTCGATCCTTGGGTTCTCGGTATTTCCACTGGATGTAGTCAAAGATGTCTTTCTCACTATCCACTGGCAGGGGCTCTCCAGCGACTCCTGCAAGTAAAGAAGGAAAAGGAACGTACTTATGACCCCGTTTTGGAATTTAGTTACAGAGGGTTCAGGACTGAGAGCTGTATGGGACTCACTTTCAGAAGAAAAAGAAAAGAGTTACCAAGCCACTAAAAATAAGATATTGAGTGCCCCTGTCTTCCCACATGAGCTTGTGTTTGAGCTTTGTCATGTAATTACCAGTGCTACTAAAGGAACCTGAGGATCCCAACTGTGGCTGTGTGAAGTGACCCTAATTCATGATTCTCCTCTCTGCTGAATCTCTATTGTAGCCACCATGTATTACATAAAATACTCGAGTCAGTTCCTTTGCAACTCAAAATGGGGTCCCTGGATTAGCAGTACTGGCATCACCTGGAAGCTTACCAGACATGCAGAAGCCCTCTCCAAACCCACTGAGTTAAAATCTGCATTTAATGAAGCCCCACGTGGTTGGTACACACACTGATGTGTGAGAAGCAATGCCCTAGTCTACCAAGGATGAGAGTCCTATTTTATACTTTCAGGACAAAATGACAAAATTTTCATTTTCCTAGCAGAGAATAGTAAACCACATGGTATACAGTGAAATGTTAACAAGATCCATATAAAGCAGAGTTAAGAAATTCTTACTCTTTAATCTTTAAAAGCATAGGGCTAAAGCTACCAAGTATGGCCTGGCACTGAAAGCAATGACACCTGGGTTCTTCAGAAGTCTTGGAGGTACATTTAAAAAAATAAAAACACTTCAGATCAATAAGATGTTTTATTGATCATCAGGGGTAGAAAGGATTTAATCATGTTTTAATACAGCTAGATATCTCTTGCCATCACGGGCCATCAACTGAGGGCCTGGGAGCACCATATGGATTAAAGCCCCTTTTGTTGCCTGAGGGACTAACGATACAAAGAAACTACAATTAACTGGCATAGTGACTTAAAGGCTTTTTAGAGAAATCAAAGTTGCTAAACCAAAATATCTTTGAAAATAACTTTCTCTCCAGATGATGGCATTGTCTCTAATGCAGACACAAATACGCACCTGTGACTCCCAGGGGACGGATTGTGTACTCATTGATCGTGAAGCCCTTTTCTAGGGCGTGAGCTCTCATATTCTTATTGAAAATATCACTCCCAGTGAAATAGAGAACACCACAGTAATATTGATCCTTGGGTATTAATCTAAAAAAAAAAAACAACTGATAAATCATTCACTACACATTTCAAATTTAGCAAAAAATAAGACTCTTAAAATCAATAAGGCACAAAACACCTAAAATAAGTCTCTGTGGTCTAATAACCTGAAGAGGAGACTATCTTTAGGTAGACCATTGACCAGTTACCTCAATATTGCAGTTAGTTTAGGTTTCAGTAAGCTGTGTTCTGCAAGAGGCGTGGAGAAATAAAAAACAGTATCACTTATTACAACTAACTTTCCCCAGGCAGGAAACTACTTTTGAGCTATGGAAGGCATCGTGGTGAGATGCAAATCTAGAGAAAATAAATTAGATTCTGTAGGCAGTCATTATTCTTGACATATTTTCAGGCTAAACACTGCATATAGCAGGAACATATGGCACTTCAGAATGAAAAGGAGTTCTAGATATTTATGCGAATTCCTAGATATACAGAGGGAAAGGGAAAAACGGGAGAAAAGAAGGGAAAATAGGCCAGCAAGAAATTTTGAGTAATACCTTATATCAATCCTCCTGTGTGGATATTCCTTTTCATCATTTTTACTGGGAAGCTGGCAAACACCCTAAAATGGATATTTAGAACAATGTTTAAAGGTTTTTTAAACTTAAGGCTTAATTTTAATCCAGTGTTGTTAACTGTGAGGTTATTTTTGCTGTAAATGGAGGCAGTTTTAGAATTCGGAGCACTTTGCACTTAGCAGCTTTTCCATGCACTGTGTATTATCACCGCCTTCCTACTCCACTTCCTGATAATCAAAGAATTACAGGAAACAGCAGGGACTCTGGTTGTGAGGACTCGGCCTTTGTGTGATTCTAAACAAGAAGCGGATCACGGAAAGCATCAGACATGAGAGAGAGACCAAAACAAACAGAAAAAGGCAACTTGGAAGAAACAGTGATTATTCAGGGAAAAGAAAACAAACAAAAAGAGCTATCAGTAATATTCTCCAATAAAAGAAGAGATTCCATCCATGAAGAAGGGCAGAATACTACAGAAAAAGAACACTCAAGGAAAAGGTTTAAGTCAAAATAAAACATATGATAGCCGAAGTAGAAGAATTTGAAATTGAGGAAATATCCCAGAAATCAGAAAAGACAGGAGATGAAAAATAAGAAAAATTTAAAAGATAAGAAAAATAGAGGATCACTGTCTTCCTTCTCTACAGGTGAGTTTTCATTAAACTCCTGCAGTTTGCAAACAAAAATTATTAAGGCCTGTTTTGTTATCTTTTCCTTTTCCAGAAAAATGGGGAAAAATTCTGGACTGGGCAGCCACCCATAAATATGTAAAAAGAGCTACAAACATCACCAAATTTCAAATTAAAAGTTTCAAATGCCACATTCTAAGAAAAATACACAAGTCACAGGCTTCTGGTCCTAAAGAGCAGTCAAGTTGGTACACATGTCAATAAAAGCCATACTTTTTCACTAAGCAACACAGAAAAATTAAAATCTAAAACTTAAAATAGGTATTTTCTTTAGCTGTTCCTATGGCTGAAAGATTAATGAAACCTGTTTATCTTCAAAATATGAAACCTACCTTCTTAGGCACTAACAAGTTCCAACTCAACCTTCAAATGGATGAGAAATGATTTTCACCTGGAATTACCATGCAGTATTACCTTTCGGATATGGATGTCTGAACGCCACAGGCAACGATCTTGCTGTTTGTCACATCAGTAATAGGATTTCATCTAATCGCTTTGTTCCTTTCCTCAAGGCTAATTTTATTTCCTGCACTTTTTCTGAAGTGCTAATGTTAAATAATTTCTCTGTATTATTGTAAATTCTTTATTAGACTGAGTGGATTAGTTTTGTTTGGTGTTTCAATTAGGTAGCTTCATGCTGAGTGTCTGAAATAAAGCCTCTTCATTTTCTCAGTGTAGTCAAGGTATCTTCTATTGTCCATTGAATCCTTACTGTAGATGTTTCAGAGAAAATCATCCAAGGCCAAACTTGCACAAAATGCTAAAATTTGAATGGTA